GCGCATTTGAATCTTTCCATGCGTTGTATGCTCAATGCAACGCCTTCAAGGGTCTTGACGTTGCTGCGAATCATTCTGTCGTTTATTCCCATGCCCATCAGGCCGAAGTCGTGCAGCTGCAGTTGCAGTTCTTCAGTACTATAAAATGCAGCTGTTTTCACTTTAACCGTGCCAGCTGGAGGGATTCGGGTCAAGGCGTGGAAAACCCCATCACTAACATAGGCATGGCTATGGAAGAACAGCGAAAAGAACGTTACACATATGCGCGCTATGACCTTAGTACAAACAAAGGAGAAAAACAGACGTAAACGGCAAACGACTGCATTGCTACGAAATCACAAACGCTGTCCTTTCAACCAACTGGCAGCAGTTCGGCATCAGATACCATCACCTACCTGCACATCATCCAAGCTGCCTGCCCTCATACTCTTCCCTCATCCACTTCGAGTAACGAGACAGGCTCAGCTTCAGCTTACCATAGTGGCCGCTTTCACGAGGAAATACGGGGCGGACCTTTTCAAAGCTTTTTGAAAAGTTTTCAGCAGTCATTTTGAAATAACACGAATTGTGTTAGCGATTGGCGGCTAGAAATGCCTTGCAGAGATGAAAAAGAAATGTGTAAAAACGTTAGTTTCGAAACTTTTTTGAAAATATTGGGTGGTATGTCTGATGCAGGCAGAGCAGACCAGACGTCTTTCTCCTGGGTGCGTCTCTTTTCATAGCATGTAGTACAGAGCTTGCATACTTAAACATGGTTGGCCCTCAAAGCCCGCCTTGCTCCATACGACACAAATGTAAGCGCTAATAGGGTTGCCAGTACCCATGACCCTAAACCGATCCAAGCCGTTGCCAGGTCTGATATTATCCCAGAATCTGGGTGAACTTAAGTTGTGGACTGAAGAAATAAATGCAAGTAAAAAGTCTCATTTCGTTTAATAACCTTTTCTGAACATCACAAAAGGGTTTTAGCTATTGAATGCGAGTGAGATTGCATGACAGTAATCAGGTCCTCGTCAGTGTCTAGTACCTACTAAAACTTCTTAAAAACATTTCAAAGATTCTGAAAACTTACAGAGCATTAATGCATCGTAAAATGGCTAGCGTGTTCATTAGAATTGAGAGTCAAACGTCGCAAATGTATCAGTATCAGGTCTTCGGCGTGGCCCTTTCGCGCTACTGGAGACCGAGTGAGACAGCAAACGAAGCAAAGGCTATTGTGCATTATACAACAAGGTATACATGCAAACTGCATTGTAAACCTGTGTCTACACGATAACAAGGCCACTATAAAAAGAGGTCGACTTGACGAAAAAGTTGTGGCGCCTCGTAAGACCTGTAAAACACACAACACAGCCCCGTGCCAAACTGACATACACTTGCGACATTGCGTGAGGCGTACTTTATGGCGGGTACCGATTATGTAGTGGTTAACACGTCTGCGTTAACCACTGCACATCTGAGAAACCAAAGGTACGGAGTGCGATTCCCCGCGGTGCCCGCCCCCTCCCCCCCCCCTGCGGTGCCGGCGACAGGCAAGCGACGCCTTATATCCCCAGCGCCTGAGTGCGTCGCATAGCTCCAATGACGTGTATTTTATGACGAGATTAGGCGATGAGTTTTCTGCCTTTGGACTCCCGCCCTCTCTCGTAAAGAAGTTTCCTCTGGTTATTGTTTTGCAAGGGCTTGAGATCTACATTAACTTAATAGATGAAACATAAATTGCGCGCCGACACCCCAGCACAGGTCTTTGTAGCCTGAGTAGATCTGGAGACAGCTCATAAGTTTGCCACGCGAAATGTCATTGTCACTGCAAATGTGGAAACAAAATTGCAGCACAAAGAACGGCACAAGAAAAGAACAGAACAGTGCTATTCAAAGCTGGGCTAGGCGCACTGCAATTATGTGCCTGTAACATAGGGATGTCTGGGCATGCTAGAACATCAAGTCTGCATGATATGTTCAATGATGGTATGCTTACATCGAACCGAGGCGCATATACAGTTGATATCTTTATTATACACCGCGTGCGGTATGAAATCTGCTAAGCAATGCCTGGCACAACTTGACAAAGGGTAGGAATTCCTGCACTTTCAGTCTCTGTCGCAATAACCGTGCCCAAAACATCTGGATTACGTACACACGGTCGGAAACGTGACTGATGACTGATGATTTCCCCAGGTGCACTCGGAAACAATACCAATGAGTACAATACATCACAAGCGCATAGTTTTGGGCTTGCAATGACAGCCTCATTACTAAAGTTGAAACATTAATGTTCTCTTTTGTTATTGCTCAATAGCCCAGTAACGCTGACGGCGTCGAAAAAGTTCGTCCGTGGAGTGTTTTTGGAGACAAATGCACCACTCTGACGCCTGAAAGGCACTGCAAACACCGTCTAATTCGGATTTTGTTTCAATATAAAATATGCGAATGAGTTAAGATTGCATTTAACAAATAAAGCCAATCGATTTGCCAGTAGCCACCTCGTGGTCTTCGGAAAAAATTCTGGACTGGTAACCCTGGGAGTGTTGGCCCGATGCATCGTCTGGCCAGTATGACATGAAAAGGTCAGCTGGCAGCTGGCCAGAAAGTGCCAACCAGACCCAGGGTCATCGTGCCGTAGCTCACTGTACAGCACACAAACACCTCCGCAGTCCTGTCCCAGACCGCAGATATAGCTAATGTAGTTGTTGGCGCACTCCATGAAAAGTTCTATGTAGCAAAAAGGTCGGGGTAAAATTGTCCGCATTGGGTTCAAGTTATACGCAACAAGGTCTATTAAGCAAGTGCTCTGAACACTTCGCCACTGGTGCAAACACTGCACAAAACAGCATATTTAGAAAATAATGAATATGGTAGTTCAATAGTTTTATTCACAACAACTTTTGCACGGAATATCAAAAAACATTCAAAACAGATATCAAGAGTGCTTCAGATTTACATTCGGAGAAAGCTCAAGGCTAAAATAATAACATGAATAAATCAGGATGCATTGTGACCGTTGGACCACTCGGCTGCGATGTCAAGCAATGTCACTTCGCGCACACAGCGTTGGCATTGCCGAAGCTACAGGAATACAGCATTCGTGTCGTCAACAACGATCGAAGGGTCTCGTCAGGGCGGACGATTCTCCCACTACGACTACATCAGCAGAGTAATTAATCACCAAAAGAAGCAACAGCTCGTTTGATTTTGAGGTTGAGGTCCGCTCCGGGCCGCAGTGGTCGGGCTACCAGACGACAAGGCAACGCACCGGCGGCAGGGCGGCGCCGTCCTCTCTCCCCACCAAGACGGCACCCGCCGACCACCGCGAGCCTTCCTCGGAGGACGGAACTCCTCCGGTCGGAGGACGGCCCGCCGGCTGCGGTGCCGGCCGGTGCCCGTCCGCTCTCACCGATGCTCGGATAGCCCGCGCCGCCGCCGCCGGATTCCCAGAATCTCCTGCCGCCGCGGCCAATAAGCCGCTCGCCAGGCGGGCTGCGGCGCATGGCAAGCCCAGTAGCGGATGGCTTGTACTTTAATGGTGGAAATAAGCTTACGGAGTAAGCGACTTGCACTTACACATCACATGTGTGTATTTCTAGTGAAGGCACAAAGCCTGTCTCATATTTGTTTCAACAATGTTTGCCTGTATGATAAAAAACCCGCTCGTTTCGGAGGAAACTAGTCCTTATATATATTTTTGCATATTGTGCATTCTTACCACTTGGGTTTATTATTGGTGCCCCTTCCGATCTTGTTATCGTATCAAGTTAAAAGACAAAGTGCAAAAAAGTGAGAACGAATTTTCTTATTCTGTCAGCACTCACACGTGATCACATGATAGCATAACTGACGTCATTAACACCATCTGAAATTATATTCACAACGCTGTCTCATCATCAGATACTTTATATGCATATTTTAACGAGCCAGTGCATCAGCTCATCTTTCAGCTCCGTTAGAAACGATTCCAAGACTGAATCATATCTGCTTGGGTTGGAATCAGAGTATGCCCCGTATTGTGGTGTGCCGCTTGGTCTTGGGTTTCAATCAGCCCAAATGCGCTGGCAGTTGGAAATCGATCACATTATTGGAGCGAAATCACAAGACAAGTGATGACCGATAAATCCGATTGAAGAAATCTGCATAATTCACTAGTTAAAATGGTATATCTGATCATCATGATCTCGTGTGGATGTATTACATACAACTAGTTTCGCATTCCAAACTGGACACGAATGACCTAGATATACACGTGTGTAATGTAAATTTTGACCTCAATGGTGACACTTTCCCTTTGACGCCTTTAACATCTCAGGGACTAGTGATCACAGGCACCATTCCGTCTCAATCGCAATTGGTTAGGACGAAGGCTAGACAACATGAGATCAGCGTTATTATGCTGCGTTATCGACCTTCAGTACACCAGGAGGTACTGGAAAAATGTCATAGAGCAAACATTGGTTATACCGTCAATACACGACGTTTCAAGTTGTGCTTATGATCACGGGTGAACCATAAACCGAATTGTTATCAGAAGCACAGCTTGAATCGTCGTGCACGATTATTATGATAATGTCAATATTACCGATTTTTGCTCGCCGATTATTGTCAAGATACCAAAGTCAAACTCACAATGCCGAGAGACGAGAAGCTCATGGCCTTGCTCGCCTATATCATGTATCTCCTTGTCCGCGTACCGCTTCTTTCGAAATTCTCTGATTTATCGAGGGAGGGAGAGCGTCTCATGTGCACTCAGCTGCACCACGGCCCCCGGCGCTGACATAAACCCCGTAGTGGTCAACATACCTCAAAGACTCCGCTAAAAGTGTACCGTTTTCCCTATCCCTGTCCCTCCTCCTACCCTATCCCATATATATATATATATATATATATATATATATATATATATATATATATATATATATCACATATCAGCATCCCTCGGCTGTCGCTGCCGGCGGCGAGGCTCTCGCTTCGGCTGCCGACCGCTCTCGTCCTCCGGCCATCCGCCGCACACGACGGGCCGGGAGCCGCGACGGTACTCACGCTGGGAATGGTGTCGTTGGAGCACACGCCTTCGGACAGCAGCCGGTCCCGGATCTCCCACGCGAAGATGCTCGGGCACTCGCGCTTGTAGTCGGCCACCTTGTTCACCACCAGCGGCGTCGCCACGCGGGGCTTGGAGCCGCCGATGGCGCGCGGCTTGATGGAGCCCGTCTCGTAGTACCTGGGCGAGACGGCGTCGAGGTCAAGCCACAGCTGGCCGCTAACGGGGGGAGGGGGTGGGCGACCCGCGCCACCTAATGGCGCGGGTCAGCTGGGCCCGGCAGGGGCGCACCTGTGATCGACTGGTCGCACGCATGCCGTGTAGTATTCTGGGGTGAACGACCGATCGACTGTAGGCACGCTCGGATGATCGACGTTTTGGTCTTATCGGATAGCATCCCACGGATCTGGGCTACTGTAGATGATTGCGTGGACAAGGTGTCTCTGAAGCATACGGAGACGCTATGTCGCCTCTCGCGTGCTCCTCGCGCGACTCTCCAGCTGCCAGTCGCCTGACCCAGGTCGCCCGAGCTACGATCTCCGCCACACGGTGCGTCTGTAACGGGCCAAAGATCCTAATCGACGCTGCACAGCGAACGACGGCCGACCGACAGGTCTGGCGGCTGCACTGACGGAGCGCCACGCCCCGCTGCGTTGGTTGGCGAACCGCACTCCGACTCCGTGGCCGGAGTCACAGAGTTACAGAGTCACAGAGTCACGGGTGAGGACCTTAGCGCCCAGCGCCGTCCAGAACGCCATGCTCTGCGCCCAGCCTTCGGCTCGGGGCGTGACCCATGGCAGGTGGCCTCGCATGCCGTCGCTGCCTCGTCCGAGGGCTTCGCGGCTGAAGGCTCGCCTCCGTGACCGTCTCGTCCGCTGGCTCCCGACACGGCCGCGTCACTGTACGCGTGCACAAAGAGACCGACCAAGGTCGCAGGAAGAGCGCGTCCGCAGGCAAACAATCAACAATGCCCGGCCCGCCTCCGGCCGGAAAATCGCGATGCTGAAGGCATGCGCGGAGGGGGGGGGGAGGGGGAGCGGGCTGAGCAGGAGGAACTGGGAGCCCTCCGCTGCGGTGCCCGGCGGCGCGGACACACGTCTTCACAGAGGCACAGTGGAGAGGCTGGGCTAAATGGAGGGGAAGGTGCTAGCAGCGCTGAAGAGGGTGCCAGCAGCACTATAGAGGGTGTAAGCAGCACTGAGGAGGGTGTCAGCAGCACTGGAGAGGGTGTGGATGCAAGTGGTGTCACTGGGGCCTTATGGCGCGCTTAGCTGCTGGGGCCACATGGCGTCGCCTGCGTCTCACCCTGGCGGGAAGGGCGGGCACCGCGGGGAATCTGGAGGAGGTGTCAGCAGCACTGGACAGGATGTCAGCAGCACTGGACAGGGTGTCAGCAGCACTGGACAGGGTGTCAGCAGCACTGGACAGGGTGTCAGCAGCACTGGACAGGATGTCAGCAGCACTGGACAGGGTGTCAGCAGCACTGGACAGGGTGTCATCAGGACTGGGGAGGGGTCACCTTAGCTCCACTGGTTGCAAGAAGAGTTGAAGCGTTAAGGATGATGCAGCCTCACTTGCGAAACCTTTCTGCTGCTATAGATCTTCAAAGGTACTTATTGTCACTCTACCCACCCAATACCCAGTCATGGTTACTTTGCCCGCGACCTCCGTGATTATTTCTGTCACCCGTTGATGAATCCATTGGAAACTGGAGACATATCTCCAAGTTTATTGGGCGACATTTTGCTCCAGGCTTCAGAATTGCTCACTTCAGAACATACCAGCTCTGGAAACAGCTGACCTGCTTTATTTGCCTGCGTCACAACGTCCACATGGCTGTTCCGATTACTGTTCAATTTCATAGATTCTTCTCGACTTCGATCCGACTGTTACCCGCGCTAGCCACGAATAGCGGGACGGTGGTGGGGGTTGGGTGGGGGATGGAGGGCTGGTAAGTGCGCGGCACCGCGGCATCGCACCCACTGTAATCTGGACGAGTGGGCACCATATTAAAGTGCCCCTTTAGATGCGCAGCAGCTGTTGACGTGAAATTCGTCAAGCGGAATAGTGCTCCCGACCTATTAAGTCTCGAAGATAGAAAATAAAAGCAGGTGAAGAGAGGGGAAACAGGCGACGAAACCACACGAGTGGGGAGAATTTGCGAAAGCTCTAATGTGCGCAGTAGCTTATCGTCCGCTTGTTAAACGACTCCAGGTGTGTGATGAGCGGCAGACCTTAGACGGTGTGTGATGACCGGCAGACCATAGGTAGAATATAGCTTACGCTTTGCCACGGAACTCCAGTCGTCAAAAGAAAATCACCAGGTACTCCCAAGTGGTTTGGAACACTAACGGCGCAGAAGTTCAGCAGGCCAGCTGAATGGTTAGGACGCTCCGACGGTGGTCAAGCGGCACCCAAAGCAGTTCTGGTGCCGATATTCACCAACAAAGGCCGGGGTCCGGACCTCTGATTCCCTCTGACAATGAGAACCTTTAAACCAGTGTAAGATCACTGGTAGTTTCGTCAAATGGATACTGGTCATGAATCCATAAGACGACGAGGGCAAACAATGACGAACAGATCCAGCACTAACCTAGCCAGCCTTCGGGCCTCTGTCGTCAGAAGACTCTTTCAATGCAAAGATTAAGCGGAAGCGGATTGATTATGCATATTGAGGCTATAAAGATCGCAATATGCACTGCAGCCCTGCAACGGCAAGAGAACCCAGGGCGGGGCACCATCAGTGACTTCGAGGCAGCTGATGTACCCGCGATTAAGATATGCAGGAAGCCGCCGAGAAAAACACAGGTGGCGCTGAGATCAAGGAGTCTGAATGGCCGCGAGGGCCCGAGATGGTAGGTGATGCACAAGGAGGTAAACCGCACTCCGTCCACACTCCGTCAAGTCCCGTCCCTACCGTCCAACTGGAAACCGCGGGTTATTCTGGGTAAGGTATGTGACTTTGAGCGTCCTAGACTGCCACCGCCAAAAGGACTTCCTGGTGTCAGCAATATTTCAGGTCTGGAGCTGCTACTGGCCGGTTTTCTAAGACACGGTCTTCAGGATAGGAAGTCACATTGATACAATGCATTCGCTCCGTTTTTTTTACAACATAGAACTAAGACCACTTTCTTTAGACCGCTGCAAACTGCATTGCAGCATGATAGTGTGCACTGTGAAATAGCTAAACACGGTTTATAACGAAATAAAAGACCCGCAGAGAAAAAAACGCATGTTTTTGAAGCTTAATGTGTCATGTAATGCATTACAAAGCCAACAGAAAATCGCGTGACGGTCATGCGGCATTATTCACGGTGCACACTGAACGGATATACGAAGAGGAAAAGATCCTCCCGACTTGTCATTCTCATTAGCATATGATGATTGTTTCGTTAATCTTACGATGCGACTTTACTCAATGCGGCCTAGGGACTGAAATGCAAACCATGATGACAGCATGAGGAGCAGCTCTGCCGACTCGCTTCGTGGCACAATAGGATAGTCCTGAGCGCATAATCTGCCATCTTTGACGTCAGAGATTGCCTTCCGGCAATAAGTGCATAGCACCATAACCAACGAGCTTTACTTTCGATGATGAGCATTTGGTCGACTTAACCCTAGCAAGACGAGGAGACCCTGACGTGTACTTTGTCAAAACTGAAGCTGTGCTGATTATGATGCAGCTCTCCGTGAGCCTGCTTGAAGTTGCAGTACTTTGGTTTAAATGCTGTTTGAACACGTTGCGTTAAAATCTCAACAAAAAACATCCCTCCGTGAATGCAGATCAAACGTCTATATCAAATTTATACCAGTTTCGATAGCCGCTTGAACGTCATAAATGTTTGTCTGTCGGGAGGCATGTATTTGAGGTCGGTCTTGTATTGAATATTACCCACCTGACTAAATTAATGATGACGATATTCTGTGGAACATAACTGAGTGGGTCGTGCCTCTAAGCCGAATGCGATCAAATGCGTCCGATGAATTCCTCGCTGCAGGACGTCGATTGACCTTTGTGACCTGGTTGGTATCGTCACAGGTCATAGGAACAGATGTTTAACAGTTGACAAAACGTGTTTGTTTGCCTCCTACTCGGAGGCAAAAGGGATGTACACGGACCTATGCAGAGATAAGCTTTAAGTCCTATGGCCCGATTTAACGAGCCACAAGTTATACCAACTTGTATTCTGTGTTCATATTTAAGCATGTGGTACAATAAGCGGCAATGAAATCTCCTTGAAGTTTGAAGGGGGAGGGAGAGAACGAAAGTCATCTTTGATTATCTTTATTTGGTCAACGCCTAAAGGGCAACATTTTAAGCAGCGCCACCGACGGCTGCCTCAACGCTGCCTACAAAACACGGTTCTCGGGGCAAGAGCGACTGAAGTACGTTTCTTGGACTCTGGGGACATCACGTAACATGTCAAACGTGACTCACGTCGGTACTGAATGACACTCATTAGTCCGATGCGGTGTCACAAGGCCTACGCCGTGCTGCACTCCGTTTGCCTCTAGTATGCTTGGTTTTCGAGGCGACAGTGACGGATGACTGCCTGACCTCGGGCAAAAGGTGTACTTTATGCAAACCTGGGAGGGGGGGGGGGGGGCCCCGGCGCAATAATACTCCCGCTGGCCCGCCTACTTAAAGCTTTCCCGCCGTCGCTGGTGGGACATCCAAACCGGGACTTCCCATTCCGAAGGCCTTAACAAGCCGCGCATCAGCCGGCAGCGCCCAGGACGTCCGCGATCTGCCGGCTCGTGAACACCGATGCTGGCTGTAGCGCCACGCGTGGTGAAGAGGGTGTTTCCCCCGCTCGAGAGCGTGTCTGTTGTGTCGCGCGCGCTGAAGAGGGTGTCTGTTCGGCGGCGCTCAGAGCGGCGGCGATAAGTGGTGGTTCCGTTACTGCAGCTGCCCCGAGCGCCGCCGCTCCCACCCCGCCACGGCAGCCAGTTATAATTGCTGAAAGCGAAGCCGCAATTAGTCAACGGGGTGCCGGCGGCCGCCGAGCGGGCTGGGCACCTCGTTCCCGCCGGCGCGGCTGGGGCCGATTGTGACCCGGGGGCTGACGGCGCCCCCCGGGCCGGCGACGAACGGGAGCCGGCGCCCCCCGCCGGCCGGCGCCGAGACGGCAAGAACCCGCCGCCGCCGCCGCCGCGCGCCTCAATGCGGCGCGGCCGCACGGGGCTGGGAAGGCGGCGCGGTTTGTTCCCGAAACGGGGAGACTTGAACGGACACTCATTAGTGCAGAAACGCTAACAGGAAGCTCGGTCTGCGTAAAATCGCCTTCACGCTCAAACGAGTCCGCAGCAGCTGTCAGCTACGCAGGTGTTTCACGAGCGGGGCTAAGGCGCCAGCTTGCAGCTTCCATTAGGCTTTTTATCTGTAAGCCTGGGGATGCTGGCTTAGTGGAGCTGCAGCATCCGGAATTTTTCCCGGAAAATCAAGGCCTACCGTGTGCATATTGTCTTAGTGCTCCAGCTAGTCATATCCTATTGGCTGATTGGATCTAATTCCCCAGATCAGATCTGGAACCACCGGCCGGAAACATTTGCATGCACCGCGGAATGGTGAATGGCCTTCGTGGCGTCCTGATTCATGCGTTTTAGGCCATTGTGCTAAAGGAGATGTTCTGGAATAGAATCACGACCGCAGTGAGCACTGGGTACGTTTTTCGCCGGAAGAGCTTCACCCCAAAAGGGAGGCAATCAATGGAGAGATGCCTTGCGACTGATTGACACCGCCAAGTTCAGGTTCCGCGAGTCACACGTCCCGCGGCGGCAGCCCGTGCGTGCCGCGGTGACCTGGGGGTGTGGTCAGCGCGGCTGCGGCGAGCGAGGAGGCGCTCGCGCTCAGCGATGTGCGGCAGCTGGTGGCTCCGACCGACGCTTCCGCCGACGCCAGCGGTCGGCAGACTGGCTGCGTGTATGTGTGTGTGCGTGTGTGTCGTTGGTACCCCTACACCACCGGCACCCACCGGCAGGCCGGCTGGTCCGCGGCTTCCTACCTGCCCAAGATCTTGGAGACGCAGCCATTGGAGACCTGCAGGATGCGCGAGATGTCACACGGCCGCGCGCCCGAGTGCGCCAGCTCGACGATCTTCTGTCGGGTCGAGTCGGGCAGGGGGCGGCCGTTGACGTACACCCCTCCCAGCTGGTTGACCCCGCTGTGACCTGACATGACACGGGACACAGAGGTCAGCGGCTGCTCCTCTGTCGATCAGACAGACACGGGCGTTAGAGGGCGGTCGTGGTGTCGGTCGGGTGACAAGCAGGCGAGAGCGAACGGCACACCCGGCGAGGGGGAGGGGGGGGGGAGGGACGAGCCAGAGGGCGGAGATGTCATCACTGGTCCCATCAACCAGACCTCGACAGCAGTCAGCAGATGGTGGCATTGACATAAATGGCCACGTGTCTTCACACGATAACGCCACTCACATGGTGTGTTTGAACTTTGTAATCTCCGGCAAAAACGACTTTATGCATAATTCAACGACGCCCGTACACAAACTGGACTGAGCATGCGGTGCCCTATGTGATTGGATGCTCTTAGCCTTAAGTCGGCCCAAGATGGCCAATTTTGGCAGCCGTTTCCTGCAGCGTGCTTGACGGAGCACAAAACCACGAAAGCCGCGTGGCACAGGGTCCAGCCATTCTCACCTTTGTGTGGCATGGGATTCAAGCTGGCTGGAGAGGAGGCGGCAGGTCCCTGCAACAAAGATAGATCGTCGGTCACCAGCCATCGGGAGCACCGTCAGCCGTGGTCATCAGCTGTATGGTAAGTGTGCCGTGCAATGTGTTTAGGAGATCGAAAACCGGTCACTGCAGCTAAATGCAGCTTTACGTTTGGACTATCGCGGACGGGATAATCTCTCATGTAAGTAAACCAGCTGCATTCTGCGCTCGATTCGACGCGGCGCAAAATCAATCTCAAGTAGCGAGTGCGAAGGATTTGTTTCCTTTATTGCAAATGCGAAGTAAAATTGGGAAGGATGATTGTGCACCGTTCACGAGCCTTTCATTTCTTCGGAACAACTGCGCCTTCCCAGGCCAAAAATGTTCTTTGCCACGTTAATCGCTGGCGCAGAATGACTTGCAGAAGGCGCAGAATGGTTTACGTGTTTGAATTGCTGAGAAAAGACCATGGAATTGAATTACTCTTCAACGTCAAGCATTTAGAAAAGACCCATGTCGGCCATTGAAGGCTTTGCACAGCTATAAATAGAAAATGAAGATTTTGTACGACCCCAAAGGCCCTGCCTAGCAAAAAGAAGCAGCCAAAATAAAACCATCACCCACCGAGTGTCGTTTCATGTGCGTTATGTTTAAGGAACTTTTGAGGCCTCCAAAAGGGTCCGTTCAGGAAGGGGCTCAGCAGTCGTCGATTTCAAGCAGAAACAGCCATTGGGGGTGTGGCTCCGCCATTGCCATTAGCGCGGCAGGCACGAAACGGCCTCGATTTGGCCAATGGATTGACCATGACGCAGCTGGGTGCCTGGCAACCACCCGAATGCAGCGGGTGAGCCTCCGCCATGCAGGATGCATAAATAAGCCGGAATTATCTCCCCTCTCTGCTCTAACCCTTTCCCCACCTCTCTCCCGTCCTGCCCCGCCCTTCCTTTTCCCCTGTCCCCGTCCCGCTCTCGTTTCCTTTCGTGCCGCGTGCTTCTCCGGCCGCCGTCGTCTGGTGCCGTGATTGGTTCGTGCGCTTCCTTGTCAAGGGCGCGCCAGTCAGACACCCCGGCTAATCATGGGGCCATCATCGTAAAACAAGTTCTGCCCGGCGCGCCGATAATGTGGGATGATCACATGTCAGGACCACCGCGATCAAAGAGCCGGTCGCTTGTCGGGGCTGCGCCCGGCCGAGTTAGCCGACACAGCCACGGCTCACCGGGAATCGAAGCGACAACACTAGATATGACCGAGAATGGCTCTTATTTCGCCGTCCATATGAAGTGCCCCGCAGTGGTTGACCAAAACGGCAAGGGAGTATGCGCAGATGGACCTTTGTGGGTTATAGGGTGTGCATGACAGGACTGTTTAGTAGTTGCTGCCCCAAATATTCTGGCATTTGCACTGATTGGCCTTCCTCCACATGTCTGCCAGCCAAATGAAGCCAAAAGGTAAATGACATCTGCCGAGCCAAGCGATGTTTTTTTTTGCATTTATTGATCACAAAATGATCATGAAATACATTTATTTGCCCCGGCATTAAACGTTCCAATAGAGAATTGATCTCCAGGTGTCATCAAAGTTGGGGATAATGTTCTTTACCGCCGTGAACGGTAATGAGCTTTGAGCTTAGGTGATATGTTTTAGTTGGCCATATTCCCCCGTATCACTGTGCACCTAGCACCTGCTTGCTGTAACGAGCAGATGCCATAAGGTCCTTACGCCTGCCTGAGTGCCTGAGTGCATGACAAAGCTCGTTTAAGCCCCCTACCTACCGTCTTCTTTTGTGAGCAAGGATATAATGATAGCCCGAAATAGTGATCCCAGAGGGTCACGCGAAGTGACGCCCGCCATGTCACTGCGTGACAAACTGGCACTCGCACGTGAGCGTCTCCGCCACCTTAACAGGTGATTCATTGTGTCGTTCATGTTATTCATTCAAGATTCCAGCCGCTGACATTTTCGACGTCATAGTGGTTAAGCTGTGCGTCTGAGATATAGATGTCCGGGGCTCGATTCCCCGCGGTGCCCGCCCTTTCCGACGGGGTGAAAGGCAGGGTCAGCAGCTGAGTGCGCAGACTCGCTAACATGCCGTCAGACATGCCGACGCACCCCGCTCCCCAGACAGGGGGGGGGGGGGGGCGCCGGCTTGCCAAACTCGGCGCACACGTGCGCGCACGTCACTCGGCGCCACCAATGGGGCGGCGCCGAGTCAACGTTCGACCGCCCCCTCCCCGCTCCACCACCGCCCAGCCACCCCCGCTCCACATAAGGGAAGCTATCAAGCGCTTGGAGGCTTCGGAGAGCTCTGGAGACGCGACAACACGGCGGTGTTATTCGCGCGTCGACCACCGAACCCCGACCGCTCGCCGCTTGACGGCTGCTCAAAGCCGTCCAACGCAGTCACCTTTGTTCCCTTTTCGGCGCGCAACGCGATGTTGGTCATCCACATTTCCGGCTTGACTGATGGTGCCTGTCTTTGGGTCCGGCCCGGCAGGATAAATGACCTTGACCCCCGGATAAAACGGTGCTGGAAACAGACACAAGCAGATGCGATGGCCGAGGTTGAGTTAAGTCTGGCCACCATGCCGTCTCTCAAGCCCGGAAGGACGTCTAAGCAGGTACACAGCGCGCCGGTTTCACGTTGTTCCTTTGCTCCCATTACGCAGCTATAGGAGGCCTTCCCAAGCCGCCGTCGCCGAGCCGGCATTCGCGCCGCTTCCGCGAGGTCGGCGAGGTCAAATATCAAGACAGCCGAGCTAAGCCCCCGGCGGCAGACAGGGAAGGGGGGGGGGGCAGTCGCCGCCGGCCCTCGTTCTGTTTTGTTTCCAAACAGGCCGGTGGCGCTGCCGCGGCGCCGCTCGCTGTCAGGCGGCGCCTCTGCAGCCGCCGACACCGAACCGGCCCCGGCCACCGGCGTCCGGTCGGCTCCGGCTGAGCCCCGACAAGTGTCGCGCGAGACGGCGCCGCTTTGATCTCGTTAATAAGGCAAATTATGAGAAGTATGACGGCGGCGGCGCGTCTCGGCCGGCGTCCACCACCGGGCACGCGCATTCGGCGGCGGCCGGCGGCGGCGGCTCGATGGCAGCCAGATAGCGGCTTCATTAGCGCTGCGGTGCGCCGCCGCCGCCGCCGCTGAGATGTCCGATACTCGGCGGCTGGCCGGGGAGAGCCGGAGGCAAAGACCGGTCTCGGCCGGACGGCTCTCACTCCGCTGCTCTCTCTCTCGCTCTCTCTCTCGCTCTATCCCTCTCTCTCTCGCTCTCTCTCGCTCTATCCCCCCCCCCCCCTCTCTCTCTCTCTCTCTCTCTCTCTCTCTCTCTCTCTCTCTCTCTCTCTCTCTCTCTCTCTCTCTCTCTCTTTCTTTCTCCACTTTTCTTTTCCCCTCCCTCTTCCACCAAGCTCCCGTCCCCTCCCTCGCTCCCTCTCTCTTTCTCTCTCTCCTTTCATCTGTTTCTCCGTCCCTTCCTCGTTCCCTCTCTCTTTCTCTGTCTCTTTTCTTCCGTTTTTCCGTCCCTTCCTCTCTCCCTGTCCCGTTCGCTTTGTTCTTATGCTTTCTTTTTCTTCCGTGGCTGTATCCCTATTTCATTTGTTCCTCCTCCGCCTCTTCCCGTCCCTTCCTCTTTCCCTGTCCCGTTCGCTTCGTTCTTACGTTTTCTTTTTCTTCCGCAGCTGTATCTCTATCCTGTTTGTTCCTCCTCGGTTTCGATCCCTACACACCTTTGCTTGCACTCTCCTCAGCCCAGCTGATTCTGTCGTCACTCACGCCTGCACCCGTGGCGCGGGGCACGCGATCGAGATCAATGCTGGCTCGTCAGATCAACTCACACCATCCTGGACAGCTGTGTTGAAGATTGGCCCTGTTATAATTGCACCAGGTCGAAACCCGTCTTGTGAAGGGACCGCACCGTTGAAGGTTCGCCGTGCGGCGTTGAACAAAGTCCCCTGCACACGTGCTCAATATCAGGTTACGTCGGTCGCATTATCAGTCCAATATCTGCGGATTCAACACGCGACAAGGTCCAAACAGCAATGAAACGACAGCCTAAAAATATTAAGCCCGTGTAATCTTTGCGTTCGTTGATACGGACATGCTCATTATTCAAATGTACAGAGATATTTGTACGGCCGTCATGTTGCGTTGTGTCGCGCCGCCTGACTTTTGTTGCTGATAATCGGTCTGAAGTGGGCCGCCCTAGCCGTCCAGCCGCTGGATTATCTTGCCCGGCCCGTCTCCCGGCGCTGCTCGGTCAGCGGCCGCCGACAAGCGCCGTGGTACCGCCGGCCGCCGCCGCCGCCCAGGCAGCGCTAGTGTCGCCGCCGGCCCGGACTGCGGCTAAGCGCATTATTGCAGGGAGCGTTTTGATGGATCTATGACAGCCGCACGTCAGGATATTTACCTACGAGGCGGTGATGAAAACCGCTTAGCGTTCTGGATGCTGGCGCAGGCATCACTCCATGTATAAGTACATGCATAAGTACACTTAACCCAATGACAGGGCAGGACGGCCGGCTGAGCCACTCATCATGTGCCGAAGCCTCTCCGAGCGTGTGCCGGCCTTCTCCGCAGCACGCTCTGGGCAGACGGACACCGCACGGCCTCACGTGCGGCGCCGCGAGCTTAGGTCTCCACGTGCCGACCGGTGCCGCCACAGCAGCTGACGGCGCGAGGAACGCCTCTCGACGGCACACGCAACTGGGACTGTCAGGCCACCGGGCTGCGCCGGTGCGTCTGCTGTTGGGCGGCCGGTTTGATCTGGCCTGGGTCTGGTCTGGTTTGGGTCTGGTCTGGGCCGGGTCTGAGCCTGGGCTTGGGCCTGGGCCTGGGTCTCGGTCTGGGTATCGGTCTGGGTCTAGGTCTGGTTCTGATTCTGGTTCAGGTTCTTGTTTTGGGTCTGGTCCTAGTTCTGGGTCTGGGTCTGAATCTGGGTCTGGGTCTGGGCCTGTGTCTGGGTCTGGATCTGGGCCTGAATCTGGGTCTGGGTCTGGGTCTGGGTCGGGCCTGGGCCTGGGCGTGGGTCTAGATCTGGATCTGCA